GGAGTACTCGTCGGGGTCGAAGCGCTCGCGGCAGTAGGAGGCGCTGTCGCGCACCAGGCGCTCGACGCGCGGGTCCCCGGCCAGCAGCCCCTGCGGCAGCGCGAAGCGAGGCGTGTCGGTGAGCAGCAGGAAGTGCAGCGGCGCGGGGCCCTCGCGGCGCAACGCCAGCCCTAGCACCACTGTCTTGGAAATGATGCTGACCAGCTTGTAGCAGTGGCCCTCGCGCACCGGGTGCAGGTCGTATGGGTTGCGCGGAGGCCGGCTGGGCACTAGCACGTTAACCGGCAGCCGCACGCGCTCGATGATGGCCCGCACCGTGTGCTCGCCCTCCTGCATCTGCAGCTCCAGCGGACTGCGCGTGCTGAAGCGGCCCTGGCACTGGAAGGGCAGGCTAAGGCTCTCGTTGGTGCGGTGGTTCATGCAGATGAGGCACGGCATCTTGCCCTTGACGGGCCTAGCGCCCCCACCGCCTGCGGCCCCCGCACCTCCCGGGCCACCGCCGCCCACCCCAGCCAGCGCCCCTGCCCGGCCCAGCTTGCGCAGGAGGGTGGTGAAGCGAGAGCGCTCCTTGGTGGTCTTGGCACACAGGATTTCCGCCTGGCCCATGAGGGTGAGCTCGTCGCCCGCGTGCAGTGTGAAGTTGTACACCTCGCTGTCCTCGCTGAACTCGCCTGATACCACCTGGGAGGATCCCAGAGACAGGGAGAGGCTTCAGCCCTGGCTGCAGGAAAGTCACATGGCCACACCGCGGTCCGGAACAGGAGAGCAGCCTTCTGCTTTGGACCTCCCAGGCAGCGACCAGATCAAGAGCCTCCTGTTGAGCCAGGCAAGTGGCTCACACCGGTAATCCTAGCACTCTGGAAGGATTGTTTGAGCCTGAGCTCAAGACCAGCCTGAGCAAGAGCAAGACTCTTCTCTAAAAATAGAAAAAAATTAGCCAGGCATGGTGGTGCTTGCCTGTAGTCCCAGCTACTCGCCAGGGTGAGGATCGCTTGAACCCAGGAGGAGTTTGAGGGGTTGCTGTGAGCTAAGCTGATGCCACAGCACTCTAGCCTGGGTGACAGAGGGAGACTGTCTCAAAAAGAAAAAAGCCTCCTAGTGCCCCAGGATCCCCGTGTTCCCCAGGTAGCTGTGCGGCCTTAACTGAGTGCCCTCTTGGGGCCTTAGTGGCTGCCTGTTGCTGTGGAATGAAAAACACTGTATGTGCGATGACATACTTTGAAAGTACTTGGTAAATGTCAACTTTTATTATCATTGTGTTTACCATTTGGGCAATAATAATACCCCATCCAACAAGGTTACCCTGAAAAGAAAGGAACTGATGAAAAAAATAAAAGGGTTTGTAAAGAGCAGAGAGGTGTTTGTGCCCTGGGGGAACTAGGTACACTGCCTGATCTCCACAACTATCACCTCTACCACTGGGTGCTGGGGTAGCTGGGGATAGGATTCCCTGAAAGGTCTCCAAGTCCAGGCATGAGCCCTCCCCACAGTCCCTTCTGTTTCAGTGCCTCCCCCAGGAAGTCCTTCAGCCCAGTGGGGCCTATACCCTCCTCTTCTGACATGGCCTGATTGTGCCAAAAGCCCTCAAGGGGTCCCCAGAAGCTACTCTCCCTCTCGGACCCTATGGGCAACCCTCCAACCAGGGCCAGTGTTGCCCCTGAGGGAAGGGGCAATGTAGAGACACAGTGCCTGGTGTGGGAAGGACTGACCTTGACGCTGAAAGTGATGGCTTCCATCACAAAGATACGGTCAGGGAAGACGCTGGCCACCTCCTCCACACTGCTGAAGTATCTCACCGGCTCTCGCACATCCCGGGCCTGCTCCAGGAGCTTGAACTTCCCTGCAGTGGGAAACAGAGGCTGCTGGGTGGGCCTGCCTATGGGAGCCTGCATCCTGAGCTCATCCTGAGCTCTTAGAGTCCCTACTCCTTGCTCCCATTATCTTACCCAGTCCCTCTAGAACTCAGAAGGGCAAAAGGGCAGGTTTTTCCTAGCATGTGCAGGAGGGGGCTGGTCATCTGGCTTAAGCCTCAGCAAGATAAGCACAGATCCTTAGCAACTACAGCCCAAGAGAGCTGTGGGTGTACAGTGAGGCTAGCAGCTCCCTGCCCAGAGAAACCCACTGCAAGTGGCCTGAACAGTTGGACACAGCTGGCCCCAAATTAGGCATCAGTGTGGCACTGGGGATGCTAGCTCTTAGCTTGGTCCCAGCCCAACCTCTGACTTGCTCTGATCCTAAACAAGTCTTTTCCATCTCTGGGCCCCTGGGTCTTCATCTTAACAGAGTTGGACAGATGATGTTGGGCCCTGCCTGGATGTGGCATCCTGTGCATCTACCATGGATAGCTGATCCACATGGATACACTGGGCAGAGCAGGGGCCTAGCCCCAGGCCTTGAAGGCCCTAGGAGACCTCTCTAACCCCAGCTCTGTTCCCAGACCCCACCCTGGTCCAATATCTAATTCCACTGTCCCACAGGCTATGACCTGAGCCCAGCAAGACAATCTCCCACTGAGGATTCCCAACCTATAGTCTGGCACTATGCTTTGGCTCAGTAGAGGGCCCCCGCAGACACAGGCTTTAAAGAAGTGATACTGATCTGTGAAGCTGACACCTCTGTGTAAACAGTCTCACCTCCTAGCCACACATGGTTTATGTGCACACCTACATGAGCACAAAGACAGACTGTGAACCACCCTGGCATCAGATGGGTGGCCTCTCCCTCAGCTTATACAGTAGAAAGACTTGTACAGGGGAGGGGAAGAGGGTTGAGAAAAGACAAGGTGACTCTAGCTTTGGAAGTCTTCCTGATGGTTACTCCAGTCATACTTCATTTATTTATTCCACAAACATTGATGGAGTACCTATCATGTGTCAGACACTATACTAGGCCCTACAGGGGGTAAAAAATCTATGTAAAATACAGTCTGCTCCCAAGGAAAACCAGATAGAGTGGGCAAGATGGCAAGTATGCAATGACAGCAGATATGGCAAATGCTACAAAAGAGCTAGAGGACTGCAGGGTTGAGAGAAACTTGCCTGGTGAAATCTCAGGGGATCTCTAAGCTGCACCTTAAGAATGAAAGGGATTTTACAGAATGGGCATCCCATATGGAAGAAACAGCAAGAGCAGAAACACAAAAGCCGACTGCCTCCCCACAGGAGGGGAAGCAGACTGAAACTGCATTTTGAAAGGCTCTGAATGCCTTGCTTAGACAGCAGGACTTTATTCTGCAAGAAATGAGACTCATTGGAGTCTCCCAGTCAGGTAAATAATCCAGTAAGCAGTTCTGGAGAAGAGCCAGGGAATAGAAAAAAACTAACCAAACAGAAAGCCCAGACCAAGAAGGCCTGGGTGACTGCACGGGGAGGTGGGGAAGGAAAGGACTGAGGATGATGTACTCAGGCCACCAGCCTAGTCAGATGGAGAAGGCAGAGCTCTTAATCCAAACTGGGACCTTGGAAGGAACACATTGTGGGGCAGGGGACAGATCTAGGGAGGCCACAGGCAGTGGCCCGTAGGCATTACTCCTAGGGCAGGTGCCACTGGTGTGGGCACAAAGCCTGAGGATGTCTGGTTAGAGTAACAGCCAGAAAATCACCAGCCCACAGGTGGCAGCTTCTACTGTGGCTAGATAAGATGGCTTAGGGATGAAGAGCATGCTAGGTCCCTTTGGGGACCCTCACAACAGAAAAATGCTCACACTGTACTCCTGGCATGAACACACACACTATCCAATTTTATATACAGTGCCAGGGACTCCAGATTAAGACTCCCTGGTGCAGGTTTCAAGAGCAGAGGGCAGGGGCAGGGCATGAGCATCCCAGGGAGGAGCAGGGAGAGAAATGAGAGCTGAGGAAGACACGGGGAAGTCCTCAGGAGAAAGCCCTAACTGCCCTGGTGCCCTTGTGGGAAGAGGCCCCAGATGTGCCCCTACTGGGCAGCAAGGACAAAATGTGGAGGGGGCTGGGCAGCAGGAGTCTGGGGCTCAGGCAGCAGGACCTGCAAGTCTGCTGCCATCTGCCAGTGAGTAGCCCCCTCCCTCACCCTGCCTCCTCCTCCATACCCACACACAACCCCCCCAACCCCAAGTAGCTGGGCAGAGAGTGATGCCCACTGCCCCTGTGAGGAGGTTTGGAGCCAAGTCAGGGCTAGACCCGGGGAGGATGTGGCAGGGAAGATCAATGTAACCATGGCACCCAGCAGCCCCCACACCCCCCTCCGCAGCCTGCAGCCCAGTACCGGTCATTACTGCTGGGAGGAAGGAAGGGAGACCTCCTGGGAGTGATGGTCCAGCCCTGAAAGCCTTTTCCCCTAGCCTGCAGGCCCAGGGGCAGCTTCCTCTCCTGCCCCCACCCCATGCCCCACAGCTCTAGGGACCTGCCCCACTCTGCCCACCCAGAACACATCTGCCTACCTTGCTCCTCTCTTCCAGCCTAAAGCACCTAAGGGCTAGAGCAGCCCTCCTCCCAGCACCTGACTCACTGCACACACTCAATAAAGAACACAGGTAAAGCACAGGCTTTGGAGTTGGACAGACCCGGTTGAATCCCAACTCTGCCACCAACCAGTTGTGCGACCTTTGATAAATTATTTAATCACTCTGGGCTTCAGTTTTCCCATCTGTAAAATGGAAGCATACTACTTGGGTCATGGGTACATCTGCCACGTGCTCTGCAAGGCATAAAGCCAAGGCTTGGGAAGTGGCTTAGCTCAGGAAGCCACCTGGTACCTCCAGCAGAACCAGTGGGGAGCTACCTCCCTGACATGGAAAGCAATGAGCCACAGCCTACACCGGACAGCACCCCCAGGGGGCACTGCCCTCCTCCCCTCCCCCACTTTTGCCTGTGTCTGTCTCTCACTGCTGCAGTCCAGCTGCCCTGCCCACCCACTGCCATTATTAATTCATTAAGAGGAATCAGCGTGGAACCTAGGTTCATTCAGAGCCAGCATGTTAACCTGTGTCTGGCTTCTGCCCCTCCCCCAGCTAAGAGGCCTCAGCCTCCCCTCCCCCTGGGGGTGTGGCTGCCCCCCACCCTTACCACCACCCACACAGCCATCCAGGGGCACCAGGAGAGAGGGGAGAAAGAGCTAGGCGTCCCTGGACCCATAGTTCCCAGGTAGACTGTGCCTTGGCTTCCCAGAGTTTTAATGACACAACTGAAATGGACACAGTCCCTGAAGTCACATTTCTCTCAGTGAGGTTTTTTCCCAACCTTTGATTTTTTTGTGGGGGTTGGAGACAGAGTCTCACTATGTCACCCTTGGTAGAGTACCATGGCGTCACAGCTCACAGCAACCTCAAACTCCTGGGTTCAAGGGATCCTCTTGCCTCAGCCTCCCAAGTAGCTGGGACTACAGGCGCCCACCACCAACACCCAGCTGTTTTTGTTGTTGTTGTTGTTACTGTTATAGTTGTTACATTGTTGTTTAGCAGGCCCGGGCCTGGTTGGAACCCGCCAGCCATGGTGTATACGGCTGGTGCCCTACCCACCAAGCTACAGGAGCCAAGTCCTTTGCTTTTTTCCATCCCAAGGAGAGGACCTGGGGACTCTCCCTGAGCCAAACTCAGAAATTTCTAGCTTGAGCAAACCTGCAAAGGGCTCCAGGCCTAGGTCAGAACCCTAGGTCAGAAAGACACTTGAGTTAATTTCCTTATCTTATAATGGTGTGGGTATCTGTTAATCATTACTTTAAAATCTATTTTCAAATAAAATGTGAATCAAAGGTTTATAAACCTGTGAGCTCCTCTCCAGAAATCCAGTATGAAAATCTCTGGGCCCCAACTCTAACCCTAACCACTACCCCACTACAGGCCTTCTCCTGTTCATCCTTGAAGCTCTAAGGAAGAGTGGTCAGCAACAGCTTTGTCCATGTGCTCCCCACTCTGCCCCTGGCCCCAGCACCGCCTGCCTCCCCCCCCCCATACACACACTGGCTTTATGCCATCTGTCGATGGCTGGGCACACCTGGGTACTGCAAGGGGATGTCGATCTTGGGCCCGATGACATAGTGGCCCTCCTCCAGGGTGTGGGCTGTCACTGTTGTCCACTGGCGGCAGGAGTGGATGAGCAGGATGTCTCGCTCACTGACACCCTCAGCATACTCCCCTGGCAGGGGCAAGGACAGCAGAGGACGGAGAGGGAGAACATTAGGAGGAGCAGAAAGAACAGACAGGGTGACCTCCTCACCTCCTCACCAAGACCCCACCTGGGAACCGTTGGACTGATCTCTGTCCACTTCAGCAAAGCTCAATGGACAGGCCGGCTGCCAGCTGTGGCCTGGGGCTGTGAGTCAGGCTGTGAGTCCCCCCAAGGGCCCCAGCTACCAGCCCAGCTTCAGCCCCCTCATTCATCATCTGACTGGAGTGCCTGCCCTCCCAGCCCTCTGCTGGGGCTGGAGGCTCCCAGAGGATGAGCCTAGCCAGCCCCTGGGGAGGTGGGAAGAGATTTAACAGAGAATATGGCAAGTTTGCGGGCACTGAGGGGAGGGTGTCTGGGGATGCAGAGGGCAGCAGCAGGCTCCATCTGGGGGTGGGGTGAAGAAGGGAGACTTCACTGAGCAGGGGGCAGTTGAGCTGGGCCTCAGGACCAGGAAAGTCCAAACCAACAGGATTCTCAGCCCCCAGGTCAGTGAGTGGGCCTGGCAAGGTAGGATAGGGCTGAGAAGGGACTGTCCCCTCTAGTCCCAGCTGTGAGAGCTCCCCCAGAGCCACAGGTCAAAAGGATGGCAGGGCTCAGAGGAGCTGGTTCCTGGCTCTGCCATGGGCAGCCTTGCTTTCTACCTACTGCAACTGGCAATCTCTTACTTTCAGGAGACCTCAAAGGAGATGGAGAAATGCCCCCCAATCCTCAACCTCTTGGCTCTCCCTCCCCCATTAGGGCCCTCATCCTCCCAGTTACAATGATAATGGCTGGGCTTGGAGATTAGGGAGGCAGATTCTGAAGGCAGGAAGGGGGGAGCCCAGCAGACTGAAGGAAGCTGCACTGGGGCAGAGGTGTTGGGAGTTGGGAGGGGCCTGGGCCTGGGCCTGGGCCTGGGAAGCTCCAACCCCAGCAACGGTTTCCAGGGGAGCAGGAAAGGCGGCCCAGCTTCCAGGAGGCTGAAGGGGCCCATCTCCTGGCTGCAGCTGGTAGTCAGGATGGGGGTGGGGAATGTCTCCTTCCCAGCCCCTTCAGATAATTCACTAAATGTCTGCCAACCCAATGGGAAATTGTTTGCTCTGATGTCTGTGGGCTCCATGAAGTATATCCATGTTGTATGTGTGAGGTACAGAAGGTTCAAGGACCTGGCTGCCATTCTCTGTGTGTGTGTGTGTGTGTGTGTGTGTGTGTGTGAATGGGGCAAGGTGCTGACTGAGCTTTCCTCAGCAGCAACTCCTCACCTCCGGGGCAGAGGAAGCGTTCCTTGGGTTCTGCCAAGTTCTTTCAGAACTCTCCTAGGCCCAGCCTGCTGGCCACAGAAACACAGTAGCCATGGATCATGATCATCAACAGCTGAACCACAACAATCCACAGTGACAAATGCTTGTCACCCAAAGGACAAAACTCATGGTTCCACCAAGGGGCTTCTCCCAAATGCAATGGTACATAGCACACAGGGACCTTGGAGGGCACACAACTTTAATCACACATGGTGACTACAGCCATAGCCACACACTGTCACAAACAGCTGAGCCACCACACCAGTTGTCTATTCACTCACCCTATCATTCATTCACTCATTCAATCTGTAATCTTTCTTAGGCAAGGATGCCCTCCCTCAAGGAGCCTGCAGCCCAGTGGGAAGACAATAACCTGACCATTATAAGGGAATACTCGAAAGGGGGAAACAAGGCAAGGTGCCACGAAGTGTCAGGGAACTCCAAGGAGGCCCTATCCAGACAGAGGAGCTCAGAAAAGACACCTTGTTGGGATGGGGAGATGCCCAAGAGGATGTGTGGGAAACGGCCAGGAACCCAGAGCAGCACGTCCCGTTCACACGCAGACATACACAGCCTTGCTACTTGACAGTCTAAGAATCACACGCTGACCATCCTGCGACCATCCAGAGGGCAAGACCCCGGAGTGCTGGGCGCCCCTGTCCGACGGCCAGGGCACGCACACTCCCACAGAGCCTGCTCCTGGGACACGGTGACGTTCATGGTGCCCACTCTGTACCGCTGCGGCCCAAGGACGGGCTGCCGAGCGAGCGCCGCGGGGAGAAGAGGGGCCTACGGCCACGGGTCCCATTAGCATTCAGGGAAGCGAGTGTGCCAACGCGGGCCAAACCCCTATTATTCTCATACACAAAACCCCGGGCCCGGCTGCCAGCCCCGGCTCCCGCCCCTCCCCCAGCCAAGCAACCTCCCCTCCCTTTCCCCAATGGTCCCCTGGCTCCATGCACTCTGCGGGCGTCCCCGCCCGGCCCCCAAACACCGTCCCATTAGCAGACCAGCCGGGGGTCCTAAGCCCATAGAAGAGTGAGATGAGATAAAGGGGAGGGCCGGGGGTCCTGGGGGGCACGCCGGCGACAGACTCCAATCACTCAGGCCTCTCGTGAAAGTGGCCTGCCCGCCCACTAGGTTCCTGGGCTGCCCCCCAAATGCGAGAGGGTGAGAGAAGAGTTCCAAGGGGAACCGAGCGGGGCTGGGTGGAGGCAGCAGGGGAAAGGCAGAGTCCGAGGCCAAAGGATGCGGGAGGATAGAGGTGAGAGGCCGGAGACAAAGGGACCAAGGGGGGCGCGGCCGGGAAGGGGGTCGAGGGTGGGGAAAGGGGTGCACCGACGGGGCGGGCGCGGTGTCTTGGCCACGCTCCGGGCTCCAGCTGCACGGGAATGCACTGGCCCGGGCCCTGACCCCGAATTCCGTCCCCGGGCCGGCCGCGGGACCCAGGAGGCGGACCTGGGCTTAAGAGTCCCAGGACTCCAAGGGAGGCGCTCCGGGGAACGCGCGAGGCCCGCACCGGAAAGCCGGGAGGACAAGGACGGCATCCCGTCCCGTTACCACCTGCCTGGTTTCCCCCCACGTATCCCAGTCCCCATCCCCAGTAACCCTGATACCTGGCCCGAGGCAGGCGAGCGTGGGCAGGCGGCAGCGGCTGACGATGAGGTCGAGCGGGAAGGCGCCCATGCTCCAGCGCAGGCCGGCCAGCCCGGCAGCCAGCTTCTCCATGGCATGGGCGCCCCCGGGGCCGCCG